TGAATTATAATATCGTTTTTTACGCAAATTTATTTTATAATCTAATTACATTTGGCCTCTCTTTACAGAGTTTCATCGTGCGTAAAATTATTGTGTTCAAATGAGTACCAAAAATTAACCCAGAATTTCACAGTATCGTCCCTAAATTTTGAAGTGTTGGATGTAACCACCGACCATATTCCTGGTTGGAAAAAGCAGCTGTCTCTGCTACGGAAGCGTTATGTATACGATACGAAATGCTTCCTCGAAATTGCGCTCTCGTTGAGGATGGATGACGTCGTAAATATTTTACTAGTGGACTTTATTGTGCTCTTTATTATCACCATGCGCTGACTCTCGACACACGAGGATATGCGTATTCAAAATACTCCCAAAGGCAATTCTAGTAAAATGTGAAGTTAACGCTGTCGTAGTAAAAAAACGTATCAAGGAGGGCCCACACAGTTCTTCCATTAGTTGATACTATTCTATGAAGTAGTATTAAGGAAATTAGGAATCTGTGAAGTCCATGGCTCAGTGTAATTTATTTGCGTATTTTCGACTTGACAATCTTCAAACATTTTGTTTATTTCAACATTTTATTTCGTATTTACAATTTAAAATGAAGAACAATAAATTCAGATTTCTAGATAACTCTGCTTTGGTCGTTCGTTCGTTCGTTCGGTATCTCGATAACTATTTCAAAAATTCTAAATATTCGATAACGTAAACTTCATCTGTTCCCTTTCAGATTCGAAATATCGACGGTTCAGTAGAAATCCAATAGCCATAAAAATTATGTCTAGAAATATAACAAACATTAATGTTAATCTCGCATTCAACTATTTTTACTTTGAGGGTCATATCCATTAAGGATAATTTAATGCTTTTATTGTCTTGCTGGGCAGAATGACGAGATTATGCAGTTACTTAAATGACTTAACAAGTGATGTGACGGAATGCAACTCCACGCCACACATCCAACCAGCACTCTATGCCCAACCAGCAGCAACATCCGGTATCGTGATGACGTTGCTCTGGCAATTGTCTGCCTCCTAAGCTAGCCCTAAGCAGTGCAATCTCATTTTATGACGAACGTATCAACCGCATCAATTAATGAAATTTCTATCAAAAGGTAACTTTTGTACAATAGTATTGTTCAATGTTTGAAGAAGTCTCTACTGTTCTAATTGACGTTTATCCACGACGATGAGACGTCGCTGTCGATGATGCTAGTAGTGTGCTGAGATGTTCCCACGCAAACGTATCATATATCACGTGTGAATTTAGCTTCGTTATGTGTTGTTGGGTGTATGCCATGTTGATGCAATGTAAATATTTTTACCAAACGTCAGTAAAAAAAGAATTAGAACTGTATTATACTACCCAAATGTCATCAACCAGCTAATTTTATTAGGATATTAAGTGTTAAAGCTATTTATTACAATTTTTGTCGATAATTTTTTTCAAATTAATTATTACTAAATTAAAGCACTTACTTTCAGAGTAGCGTATACTTATTAAAACGCATTGTTTAGGAAAAACAACATTCACATTCAGCTGTATTGTTTAAGATGAGATTAAACAGTTTTGATCCCAATATTTGGCAGCATGAGGGAGATGCGTCTTGAGAATATATTGACACGTAAAACTAGAAAACAAATGAAATAGAGATGTTTCACTTTGGAAATGGCTCTTCAATTTTGGTGATCATTCGCTTTGGAAATGTCTCCTCAATTTTGGAGATCATTCACTTTGTAAATGTCTCTTCAATTTTGGAGATCATTCACTTTGTAAATGTCTCTTCAATTTTGGAGATCTTTCGCTTTTAAAATAACTCTTCAATTTTGAGCGGCGGTTCTGTAGAGTAGAGGAGTCAGCCGCGAACTACAGCGCGGCGGTGCGGTCGGAAGCAGCGTTAATTAGCGCTGTCGCCGCGACTCGTCACTCCGCGGAGGAGGCGCAGGCGGACGGGGTAACGAGATGTGCTCATCTAATTGGCTGTGACGACGGAGGGCGCGATGGATACGACAGCGGTGGAGACGGGCGCGGCAACTGCGGTGAAGTAGGTAAGAAGCTGGGGAGTAGTGTGGGACGTGGCGAGAAGAGCTTGCGATTGGAGTATGGATGTCAGCGATTACGCTACTAAAAATGAAGAACGCAGAGTAAGGAACTATACTTTCCGACGATGTATATCTTCTTTTTCTTCTGTACTTCATGGATTAGGGCTGCTTGAGCCTGTTCCGTCTTCGCAAGTTTACTACTCGTAGATTTGTTATTGATAAAAAGGGATAGAGGCGAATTGTGTCGGGGTTTTACCTTTTACCATCATTGTTCGAGTATAATTCAGCTTTTAGCAGTAGGCATTCATTCGTATATTATTATTATTATTATTATTATTATTATTATTAATAATATTAATAATAATATTATTTTGATTAGGTATAAAATAAAATGTATGATGGAAAATGCATTGTAATTCAGCACATGGCCGCCATTATGTACGCTACGACCGAATAATGGAATTTCACCGGCAGCTTGTAACTGTGCGGCAACAAAGGGCGAGCCCTAAGGCGGAGCTGGAGGCTGATTAGAGCGAGGAGGCGTGTTTGGCAGGGGCGGCGGGGCTGCTAGCTGCCGGCGCCCCGCTGCTCTGCCTTCCCGCCTGCTCCGTCTCTGCAAACGAGCTGCGCGCGCCTGGCGCTGTCTGGGTTCCTTCCCGTTCGACTCCGCGAGCGCGCCCGAGAGAGAGAGAGAAATTCCATCGATGGCGGTGTCTCAGTGCCAAGGCCGACTTCCCAGAACACACTTCGCGTGGAAATGCGAGTTGCTTGGGTGGAAGGTTTCTCTCTGGGATGGACGTCTAATAAAGAAGCTGCTTTATTGTCGCGTACTGTTGTAACAGATGTTTCAAGCCTACGTTTAAAGATGTGAAATTCAAAAATAAAAAAACAAAAAAAATCCTCAATTTTTTAAATTGCATTTCTGAATGCTGTTACTTTAAAATGTTATGTTATGATACATACCGTGACATTATATTTTAGTGTTGAGCTTCTTAAATATTGAGACTAGTGTTATTTTGTGGTGTAATCTGGTACATTCTTGCAACACCGCAGTACACTTTTTTACATTGTTTTCGTCATAAATATTATTAAATTCGGTTCTTAGGCATATTTTCTTTCCTATTGTCATATCCATTTTAGTTCCATGTTTTACCGTCAGCTATACTTCGATTTAAACGTAGGGTCTGTTGACGTAAAGCAATTAATACGGTGTCCTCCATTCGGGAGCTTGGAGGACACAGTAGTGACGATTGGATGACACCATAACATCTGATCAAACGTCAGAAGCCTGTGTAAATCAACCGAAGTATATATTTTATCCTCTTCATTTTTTCGCACTGAATCTACGATACGGTAGATCTTTTTTGAACAAAGATTTGCGAGAAGTAGGTCTAAAAAATGTTCACTGATTTACACAAGTGATGTGCTCCTTAATTGCAAAAAGCAGGGGGATGGTGCTGACTGCTCATTCTGCGATGCGACTAATTGCGTTACGTCTACTGAAACGAACCATTCTATTCGCAAACGTATTATTCAGTGCACGAACACCTTTAACGTCTTCCTGGATCTGTAGCATTGTTTGGCCATAAATCTACCTTTTGACTACAAGCTTCATTTTTTTTCCGACGTGCCGCGCAAGATTTTCACCAACCGTGCCGGAATTCTAAGATGAGGTGAGATAACCCATTGCATTCCACGACAAGCGGTTTCCGTTGTTCTCCGCGGGGTAAAAGCTTCTGGATCACGGGAGGCTGCCCCCGCCTGTAGTCTAGTTAAATTCGGGGTCGACGCTGGCGGCGACCGACGGTGCCCTGGGCGTCTTCCTCAACTCCCGTCTGAGACGTTCGCAGCGCGGCGCGGCGCACAGTGGCCGGACCAGCAACCAAAAGTAGACGTAGAAAGGGCGGGACGCAACGATGAAAATCAAATTGTTACTACAAATGTATTACAAAATATCTTTATGCCTATACATTTTGAATATTAATGATACTTTAACGATTTTTAACATTCGGAGTAGTGTCAATTATATCAGTTTATTCCATTTACTCCACTGTAGGCCCATTTTTTACATTACGTGTAATCAATAACGCTCGCCATTTTCAAAGGAACAGAACTCAGCGGATTATGTCAACGAACATCTATTTATGGTTGTTCATTTTATAACTTATTAATTTTAAGAAGATTTTATGGCAGTTGGTGATTTTAAACGGCTCTTAAAATGTTTTTGTTGAAAACTGATTATAGGTTTGACGTACTATTTTGAGGAAAGAAGCACACGATACTAGTTCTAGGGCAATGTAATATGTCTCTTTGAAATTTGAAATAGATAATACAGATTATACAAAATAATACAAAAAATCGTTAAAGGAATGCGATGTAAGCACATGCGAGATTAGGATAAGCAAGTTTTTTAACATTATTTTCATATGTCAGGATTATAAATTATTCCGCTGAAACGTTGAACTTTAAAGACGCCTTTTTAAGTGGAAAACTCAATATAATATTATTTCTTGAATTTTTAGTTATTTGAAGTTTTTTTACTAATATTCTATAGTTACCAAAGCCTCTCAATATTTCAATTGGCTACCTTCTAAATATCTATAAATGAACAAATAAAAGGTAGATTTCGAATTGGGCATGAATGCAAACTTCTTTATAAGAAAACATAACGATGACTGGGTACTAAACCCGTAACATCCTCCAAAAAAAACCGATTCGTAACTTATTTAAAATCGTGTACTTATTCATTTATTTTTTGGCCTATCGACCCGGCGGTTCGTTCCAGCGTGGGGCACCCCCGCCTAGCTCTGCTCAGCTGTGCTTAGCTCAGCCCTGCCGCGCGGTGTGATATCTAATAGGATTACGCCCAGAATTTGCTGTGTACTTAGGGAATCCTCCGTCCGCCAGGTGCCGCTGGGCCCGGCCCGTCACTCAGCCCGCGGCACGGCACGGCACGGCATGACACGGCACGGCACGGCGCTGGGCCGGGCTGAGCTGAGCCGCGGTAGTTTCCCGGCGATTACTAATCCACTTAGCTGTTTCCGTAAGTGACAGCTTTTATCGCTGTTGCCGGAATAACAGCTTCGCGGCGCGGAGTTGGAACGGGCGATGTTTGCGTTCGGATAAATGTAGTTCACACTCTGAAAGAAACCGCTAAAAATGATACCTTTTTGACGAAAAAGTTCTGCGTGAAAGTTCGGGCAGGGCGACTTACGAGGTGCGTTTTACGAGTGTTTATGAAAATTAAAAAACTAAACGCCCGTTAGGAAATAATAAACGTTGAATTCCTAAGTTTGATCTTGTTTATCCCACCTGTGGAAGCCTGCATCGCCAATCCATCAATGTAATTTAATTATAGTTAAACCAAATAATCCTTGTATATTTCTATTCAATTAATCTATATTAATTTATTTTTTACGGATATTCGCCTATTAAATTAGTACGTCAATTAGCCAATATAATTTAATCTTAATAAAAACGATTTGTAAGTTGTATGCACGTAAAAACCAAATGTAGAATGCTTGTATTCGTATTTTACGTTTTTTGCTCATTTACGTACCTACAGATACCTCTAACCCTCCAGAAAACAACATGCAGAATATTTACTCATATCCACTACATTATAAATTTTATTTATATTATAATCTTCTCCTTATGACTTTGATTTCTCGTAATTTATGAATGTATGTATTTTTAGAATGTATGTGTGTAGAAATTTCTGCAGCATTGCAATAATGCCACGTGTGGATCGATGCTTAATGTGTGCTTGTCCTCGTGTGTGCAGGAGACGGGTGCGTGGAGAAGCCGCTGTCCACGTTGTGGAAGAACTACACGGGGTCGTCGAAGCCCGACGTGCCCATGAAGCTGACCGTGTGCAACGCCGGCCTGAAGGCAGTCACCAAAGAGCACGGGCTCACCGAGTACTGGAGCCACCGCATTACCTACTGCGCCGCGCCCTCGTCCTTCCCGCGAGTATTTTGCTGGGTGAGTATCGGTCGCGGACGTTACAGTCAGTTGGGTGATCCTATCCCGTTGATGCCGAAATGTAGGCTGTGCATGCCGTGCAGCTATTTCAGTAGCAACTGGGTTCAGCAGGAGGGGATCGTGGCGTGAGGGTTAGCGTTCCCGCTGGGGCCCGGGGTCGACCTCAGTCAATCCGCCAAGAGCGAGCTCACGGCAGGTCTCCCTTTTTCTCTGCCTCTTCCATCTTTTTTCCATAATTCATTCAGCTAGTTGTTAGGTCATCTTGGAACTCTTTGACCTTATTACCTGTAAGGCACTCAAACACCATTGATTACGTAAATAGATTAATAGAGAGTAAATAAATAGGTAGATGGTAGATAATAATAATAACTTATTGATCTATTTTTTTCCTATAATTCTTTTGTTCTTTGTAAGTACGTCATACATGTGTCAGAGGGATAGGTAGGTAGGTAAGTAGGTATGTAGGTAGGTGAGTTGATAAATAGATTTATAGGCAAATAAATAAATCAGTAAAAACCCTCACTGTTTTGACTTCAAGGGCGCTGTTTTGCTAAAAAAAATATTTCTTCGCGAAAAAATGAAGTTGAATCTATTATTTACGGAAAGGACAAAATCAGCTGGTTGTCTCATGTACGTAAAACGCCACATCTTCGTAGATGCGGCCATTTTGAGGTAAACAGAGAATACTACCTGCTTCCATTGTAGTCACGAACAGCAGATGTATGAGGTTCTCACATGTACCAAAGCTTAATTTTGTAGTTCGGATGGCCGAGATCGTTAAGACAGTAGTGCCGTGGCGATCTCGGACCGAAGGATCGAGAGTTCGAGTCTTGCCTCGGGCATGATTGTTTTTGTGTTCGTCCTTTCCCCCCTATCATCACCATATCATGTCATCTTTACAATTACCATAACATTCAATCCAATAGTGGTTGCTAATGACCTAGATGTAGATGTATTTAAAGAAAAAAAACAACTTAATTTTATTGTGATCAAATGGTGAGATGAGGACATGTCGAAATAACTGATTTAATTGTAATCCACATTAAGTTATTTTAAGACACTTACATGCAATTACATATAAACCTTTGTTTCATTGAGCGGGTGAGGAATCCAAAAAGAACTCGAAGACATCGAGTGTTCCGTGGCGTAATTTAATATTGATTAATCGATCTGAAAATGTAATCCCTAACTTTTTTGCATTTTTAACATAACGAGAGGGTAGGTGAAAAGAAATGTCAATCATGCCAGAGTAAGGATAAATGATATTTGCTTTGAACATAAAAATTATACATGTGGAGCTATTTGTATTGCCGAATATTGGGTTCTGGAATTTATTTGAATCTATCTGTTGCAAATTGTTTGAAATTCATTTTAAATTAAATCCATTTATATTCGTTACTTTTCATTCGTTGTTTACGTGTTATTGTAAAATTATGTAGGATTATGTTGAATTTATGGAAACCGGCATTACTTACATATCACTAATATTTTGATTTAATTTATCTGGATTACTGTTATCTTTGTAGAACAGCTACAAATTTCCTATCATAAGGACGATAAATGCTCATAGTTTTGTTACATTGGTAAAAGTTGCACAATCGTATATTATATAATACAGATTTGATATAGTAATCTGACAAAGACATCACGTATCTCCTTTTTGTTGTTTGACATGATTACTATTTGACATGATTTATTTTAAGATTTAACCAACTTTATGTCTAAATGTCTCTTTTCTCAACATTTCAAAATTCTGGATCTCATCTTTGAGTCTCGAGCTATGTGTATTCTATAGAGTTTTCCTTATTCATTTCCATCTGTGTAAAAAGGTGTCGGCTTGAACAATAGAATAATATAAGCTTGTATTATAAATTTGCTTACTCGTCTAATTAGTAAGGGTGAACGCATTGCGTTTTAATTAGTGGGAATGTTTCTTCCGTGGAAGACGCTGTCACGTAAAGTGTTCTTACATGTGGCGTGTCTGCAAGCTTTACGACTCAGTTCATTCTGACAATTGATGTTACACTCAAAATTGTTTGATGTTCCTTCACTCATGCTCTATCTTTCGTTTATGTTTCTCTGTCTCACTTCGGTTTCCTTTTTCCTCTACGTACTTCACATTTGTCTGCCCAGTTTTCCTGTGCCGTTTCGCTGATTTATTTACTTACGGCCTTACCTCCTAGGTTTTGGTACCTTTCTTTGAATATTCTTCAATATATTCTTCAGGGACGAATGTCTAAAAATATAATTTGTTTATAGTTGGATGCATTTCTTGGAGATACTCGTTTCTTTTAAAATTCACATTTTTCCCCTTTGCAATCTTCCACGTTAATACTTAGAAGACGTAATATTTATCTTGCTATGATGCTATCAAACAGGATGAGTATATCCTGTTTCATTACATGTGGCGGTTAAAATTTTCTTGTGCATGCTCTTGTTAGTAGTTCTTAACATATGAACATTAAGACCGCAAAATCTTATTCTTAAACTTTATGATTTTGAGTTCTCTTAGATGAAAAAAAAATGTGTATCAGCATAGTCAAGCCTTCATTCTCGAGACCCGAACAGAATGAAAATAGGACAGGTCTGAGGCAGTTTTCCTTTGTTCGAATCTTCTTTAAAGAAAAATGACCACCCTCGATGGCGCAGGATCTTCTTAGAACAGCATCCAAGTGCATTGAGCCGGACGCGCTTGTGGATTCGCAATCTCGAGTTTAAAAGGTGCGTGGTACTTCATCTGTATCGTATTCATTTGAATATCATTATCCTTTGTATAATCATTCCTGCATGGTTACTAACATCCTTATCTCTGTGGATAGCAACGGCTATACCACCTCTTTGCGTCATATGTACGGAAAGTAAGTCTTAAGGTTCCTCGCAACCAAGATGTAGGAAGAGTTATAAAATGAATCACACCACACTCACTGAAGGCTGGTACGCACCCTACGTTAAATTAAAAAGAACCCACTCGTTCATTTCTTTAGTGTTTCTGAACGGCGAGCTGCTGAGCCATTGAGCATGCTAAGCGCATACTTGCTCCCTAGCTCTAAGTATTTTTTGGGGGCCATTAAGTGACTGCTGTAAAATCTTAGCCTTTTTAAATTCATTTTCCGATTCTCAATGATAGATTTACCGGTGTCTCAGTAGCAACTGTGATCGGAATACTCAAAGATTCGAGACCAGAGGATTTCCGAGACCAGGTAGATAGCCAGGTCGAATTCAACCCCTTTTCGGAGGATCGGCAGCTCTGATCGGTAATTTCCGTGCTTTCTCCGGTCAATACCGACCTAATGCCGAGTTTCACAAGAAACGAGCATGGGCCGTGCGCGATCTCTCCTTGCTCTTCCCTGCCCTATCCTCCCATTAAACACACACGCATACTTATATACACTACATGACTACACATGTCGGAAGTCCTGTCGGGAGCTTAGAGCCTGTTCGCGGCTGGGTCGGGGTCTCGTTGCTGGGAGATACCTGGTTAGGGAAACGCGCGCGAGCCGACGGCAGGTCGGCGCCGGATCTCGTCATCCAGCGGGGCAAGATCACAGCCACCTCCCGAGCAAAAAAGCATGCACCATACTTACGGGACTAATGACCTTGTCAGTTGACGCGCCTGAAAACACTAGTAATCAATCAAGACGGTCCAACGGACGCACCGCCACCACCAAGTCGTACACTTACATGGCTAAGGACCGTAGCAATTGGCGCACTTGGAATCGCAAAGTAATCGCCGGCTACGCCCGCGTGTGTTCGCAGGTGTACCGCCACGAGGGCCGCAAGCTGAAGCAGGAGCTGCGCTGCCACGCCGTGCTGTGCTCCAAGGAGGCGGTGGCGCGCCGGATGGCGTCGCAGCTGCGCGCCAAGCTGGCGCTGGCGCTGTCCGAGTTCAAGCGCGACAAGGTGTGCCGGCAGAACGCGCGCCTGTCGCTGGCCAACAGCGTGTACGACAACCCGTCGCTGCCGCGCCGCAAGATCCTGCTGTCGACGGGCTCGCACAACTACCGCCCGCCGCTGGAGCGCTCCAAGTCCGCGCCCAAGCTCATGGTCATCGAGGAGAGCCTGGAGGAGGAGGAGGAGGAGCAGCAGCAGGAGCAGCTGCAGCAGCGGGACGAGCGCGGCGGGCAGCAGGCGAGGCGGCAGGCCGGGGACGAGGAGGTGCAGAGGCTAGCCGAGCGCCTGGCGGCCGCGCCCTGCGACGACGTGCGGCTGCCGGACTCCGCCTCGGGACGCGACTACCAGCAGGTGAGGCGGTTGAACAGCCAACCAGTCGGGATGCTTACCGTTGCTTCACGATTATTTTATTAGCATCGGGTATAACTCGGAAAGGAAGCGACTTTAAATCTAGATTTCCTTTCCCCAAATTGGAGCTACGTATAGAAGTCGTAACGTATGAATGAAGCAAACGATTCATAGAAAGTAAAATTTTCGTACATTGATTTCTTTTAAAGTTTTCCTATATTCAACAAATACGTTTTCTAACTAAATTTATTATTTATCCTAATAAACGTGTTTTGGAAACATTTTTTTACTAGTTGTACTATTACGAATATTCGACACTTATTTGTTTTAAAATTAAAAATATTTTCATACTGGAAGCGGACTTCGACCGCTTCTCACAACCCCTGGTTCGCAGTGGGGGTACCTCTCCAACATGCAATAGACGATCCAAAATCGGCTCGTTTTGTTAACTATGTCAGAAGAAACGGCCTGTCTCCTTTGGGGGAAAAGAAATCTTTATTTAAAAGGTTTAAGACGTATGTTTTCCGAGTTGTAGTCGATGGTAACTTGTGTTGCGGATTGCATTTTGCTCATGGTTTCCTTCCATAACATTATATGCGACATTTTACTATTTTCGTCTTAAATCTTTGATGCAGTTGGGAGGGGGATTGTTGTGGGACAATCTTTTTTTTATAAATATTTTGTTACTGAAGATGAGAAGGGAAGTTTCATATGTGATTTGTAATATCTATGTTATTCTAAAGCATTGTATACGGAGGGGATTGTTAAAGTTCCCTGTTGTGAGTTATTTGGTGGTACCCTAACGGGAGACGAATGCGGTTGCAGGTGGTGACGCGGCTGGCGGAGCACCAGGAGAACATGCAGGGCGAGCAGCAGGTGGCGCTGGGCGCGCACCCGGAGCGGCGCAGCTCGCTGGGCGCCGGGCGGCGCGGCTCGCTGCCCAAGCGCATCAGCTGGGGGCCCGACGTGGAGGCGCTGCGCGAGGGCGGCTGCGCCGAGCGGCTGCTGGTGGCCGGCGGCGTTGACGACGGGCGAGCGGCGCCCGACAGCGACGAGGCACCAGCAGCCTGCAGACGCTGTCAGAGCGGTCGAGCGAGGGCTCGGACGGCCGGCCGCGCTGGTGCGCACGACGCGCTCGGCTCGTCCTTCCGGCCGCTGGCCGACTTCCGCGAGCCCTTCCCGTCGCTGCCGTACGAGTGCAACGCGCCGGCGGCGGCCGTGCTGGCGCAGCCGCCGCCGCAGCCGCCGTCGCCCGGCGCGGAGGTGCTGGTGGACTGCGGCCCGCGGCGGGCGCGGGCCCGGGCGGCGCCACGCGCAGGCGGCCGAGGGCCACCAGCGCCCGCCGCTCGCCCGTCGTGCTGCGCCGCTCGCACACCTTCGCCGCCCGCCGCGTCCCGTCGAGGCCCTCGAGCTCGACTCGCTCAGCGAGGAGGACGACCCGCTCGAGGAGCCCGCCGACCCGGCCGACCGCCACGCCAAGATGGCCGCCGACGAGACAACGTGAGCGACGAGAGGCTACCGGAGCTCATCGACAACGGGAACCGCCGCGCGGGAGCGGCGGCGGAGGCGGCGGCGTGGGCGGCGGGTGCGCCTCGGCGCGCGACGACTGCCTCAAGTGCCCTCTGCAGGACGCCGTGCCCACGACGCGCTGCGTGCGGGTGTGAGGCTCGCTCCGCCGGTCGCCGCCAGGGGCGCTGGTGGCGCGCGGTGGCCTTCGGCGGCCATGATTGCCATCGGACGCGACCTCGCGGCGCGGCGCGGAACCTCTGCTGAGGCGGCGGTGACCTAGACCGTGAAAAAAGGAATAAAAAGAAAAAAAACGAACACGTTGGGACGGAAAGAGAGCAAAAAACAGCGAACAGAAAAGGACAGAAAACACGCGTGTGAAAAATGAACGACTCCCACCATATCGTGCGAACTGAAAAACAGACGTTCATACATAAAACATGCGAGGTGATACAGTTATACAATGCTAAACGTGCGGGAAGAGGACGGAGTCCCTGTACCAGAATCGTGTGTACGTTAACGTTGGTGGTCTGTGGTCGTGTGCATGGAAACGCTGTGGGTCGAGTGGGACATCGGCGGGAATGCGGACAGGGCTCGACGTCGCGACCTACTGGAACGAGATACGCCGCAGGTCGTGTGCGTGCGAGAGGCAGATACACGCTTGGGGGCGCCGCGTGAGTCGCTCGGGGCGCGTTAGCCGTCGCGCCATGACCTAACTCCTGTTGAAGCCTTATTCCGTATCTTAACAGAGAGTCTATACGCTATTTTGTTATACAAAATCTCTTTACCTCTCCCTTTAACGTAGTACTATGTACCTTCTTCGGCTATACGTGTTAGTGGCCTGTGCTGTAACGGTGATGATTTGAGGTGTTTGAGAAGAGAGATGGCTTTGATCTATTTTGGAAGAACATTTTACTACAGAGTTCTGGAATTGAGTGGCGATTACGGGTGATACTTTGGCAGAGAGCTTTCCAAGTTTAAAAGAGGCCTTTGCTATGAGAGTAGGCGCCGAAGCGCGCGGGGACGTAACCTGTTTCTAATTATACCTACAATTAGAAAAATTTGTTAAGTGCCCATGCTCATAAGTCTTTCACGAGATTACGTTAAAAATATTCGTCTCGTCACCCTTTTTTTCTTGTCACTGAGTTCTTGATGATGCATGCCCCCAGCAATAATTAGGCAAATAATTGAATAATAAAATTCCCACACAATATTGATGCATACCAAGTTTGTTAAGACTTTGAAAGTTATTGCTTTAAAATATTATAAAGTACCTTGTTGAATAGTCTGTATATAGATTAGTCACTACATTAGTGTCAAAACCTCTTTACCTTGAACGTCTTTACATTCACAGTCTGTATTGTTTTTATTCCAACCAAAGACACAAATATTAGACAGTAGATTTGTAAATCTGCTAAATACTCAGTTATAAAATAGGCTTGTATGTGAACATGCCACACACTGCATGCACTGAGCATGTAGGGAATGTTCCGTTTAGTCAGTTACGTTACAAATCAGCTGTGAACAATACTGGTCATTTCTCAGATAAACTTTTGAAGTTAGTGCAAATTAATCTCGTAGGTCCTGTGGCAGAATGTGGTGGTCACATTGCATTATATGAGAAAATTAATACTTTAAACTTTGACTTTAAATTTTGTCTGTTGAATGGATCTTGCCAATCAAGTGATAATTGCACCTGCCCAAAATTATGCATGAAGGAAGTACTTTGAGAAAGGCCATAATATTTATTTTACTTATGATCCCATTTTTTCTTTTCATATGAAAATATGAGATAGGATTATTACATGTAGTAAGCTAGTACATCTGATTTTGAAGTGCTTTTAACTGGAAATTCTCAAGAAATAAACTCATTTGGAATCTTAATGAGATTCTAATTTAGAGTTTTCAAAAACGAAATGTCTGTTGGTTTCTTTCTCTACAAACATATTCTCTTTGTGTGAAACAATTTTTGTATAAAAAAATAGAGAATAATTGAAAATAAAATTTGTTGCCTTTAATTGAACTACCAATGAGAAAATAATGTGACCTCTATATTCTGAAAATATGCACCTATTGAGCTGTTTCTTTACATACATATCTTATCAAATAGAATTGTTAAATATTAAATGAAGAAAAGGGATCTGTTCGATGTAAATTTTTTGTTAGCAATTTCACATTGTGTTTGTCATTATTTTATTGTTCTTCCTGTGTATGCTGGCAAACGTGTATTTGAATAGTCTTTTACATTTTTGTAAGTTTTGAGTATTATGAATTACTTGGTGAATATTCACTTTCATGTTTGCTATTCTGCAAATGAGATCATTTCATTTTGTTGGCATGTTAAATTATTTTAATTTTTTGTGATTGTGCTTCACTGAAATGTATGTACATTGATAATTTGGGTGTAACAGTTCAGTAACAAGCGGTGAAGCACAATACTACCTATCTACAAATGTTGTGTGCATTTGTGCATTTATATGACTGTTTGCCATTCATATGTTTTGAGTGAAATGAGGGAATAGCAAATATTTAAATGAATGCAAGAGCCAGTTGTTTGTGTTAAGTGTTACAAATAAAGAATATTATGTGTGTGTCGTATAGGAGTATTGGATACTTGCAATATACATATAACATGCATTTGTACATTTCAAATTCAGTGATGTGTATATATTAAATGGAATAAATAGTATCAAATATAATTAAAGAAGGTTGTTATGCTTTTTAAGATTAGTACTCACCTAACATATCCAAAATAGTAACCCGACTTTAAAACATTCTTCAGGAAAATAGAAGTTTTATTTTAAGTGAAGTTCTAGTTTATTTGTAGAATATGAAAATGGTAATTATATGTGGTATACACTTTAATTTGCACTAAAGAAGTTCTTTTATCAATAGTGATTTTGACTTTACAAATTAAGCGAAGTTTGAGGAGTATTTTATTTTTACTTTCTCTTACAAATAGTATAGATAGCATAGAGAAACTTACATAAAGTTACAAAAATCAACCTCGAATAATCTTTTTTCAGACTGTCTAGGTTTTGTCCAAATTAAAAATCTTGTCTAGAAAACACAGGTGCTTAATCTTCACAGGGTTTTTACAAAAATTAATATTCTTGTATCAATATGGATAAACTTTATGCCTTTTCAATTAGAAATAGATCTTTCAATTTTTCGAGTTCTTTATATGACACTATATCTACAAGCATATGCTACATTTTAATTTTTTTCTTAAAGTCTCTTATTATGAATAGATGCACTTATGCTAATATGGTAAAAGTTGAATTTGTTTAAATTTTCTGGATTTTTAAAAATAGTCGCCGTTTAATAATTGTTCTAACTTCATCTGACTTTAATATTGAAACTAAAGGTATATTTTAAAACTTTTTTGTCCAATATTATATCTTTAAATAACATCACATACATTTTTTTCAATAGACGAATAGTTTTCTCATAATTTTGAGAGCAAAAGTTCAAATGGCAAAAGATTATTTTTTCTGTTGCTCTTCTACAACAACATTATTAAATGTAGATATTTCTGCAACATATTTCACAGTATTACTTTTAAAATTTTTTCTGTACACTTTTTTTCAAAATGATATCCTGCATTCTTTTATAACATTGCTTCTAAGTTCCTGTGCAACACTCAATATTGAAGCGAGGGAGTTCTTTCTCAATGCCATTTATTCGTCAATTTTTTTTAAAGTTATTTTACTTTCATTTTTTTTTCAAAATATAATTAGTTATTACTTATTTTAGTTTTATATCTTTTTAATTTGTTAAATACATTAGGGGTTTTAGGGTTAGTTCTGTAGTTTTTATGTAGTATTTTATGTTTCATCAAATTTACCATATGTCATCTTCAATAGCTAAATTCGTTCATGATGAAAGTGGTAAGTTTGATACATCTTTTTACGAAAGGTTTCAAACATAAGAGACAAGAATTCAATATTGATTCCAATTTTATTTTATGTGAGGAATTAGAAGATTAAAGTAGAAGATCCAAGAGATTTGATATTTTAAGGCGAAACTGACTTGTTGCAAAATTTTGTTTTAAAATTAACAAGTACTTCAATGTAGAAATAAATTCTGAAGTAGTATGTAAATTATAAAATAATATCAGGAAGGCTTTGGCATTTATTTAATGAACATGTTAAAAAAGTTTGTTTCAAATTATGTTTATTTGTTTTTAAAACCATTTAAGGGTATATTGAAACTACTGAAGAAGTGGAAGTTTGGTGGAGTAAAACACCGGGCTATAAAACACCAAGTTTTTATTCCCAGAATTTTCTAACTCGTAAAGATCTACAATGATCCCTAAACTAACGAACCCAGTTTATCCCAAGCATCAAAACTCCAAACTGCGCACAGGTCGTTTCAAACCACTTTTTTAAAGTTATCTTGTTCCTATACACGAAAAACGTTAAATGTCACAAAATTCCTCCTCACCCCCGAAAACTTTTAATTTAATAGAGAAAATAAATTTACCGCTCCGGTCGATCACCGTGTTGGCGTAAAATTTTACGAGGGAGAGGATGCTCCAGGAAGGAATACCATCAAAACTTGTACAAAGTTGCCAGCGGCGGCGAGGCCCGGAGGCAAGTACGCTTTAATTAACATATCGCCCCGTCAACGGGATGAATGATGGCCGTACAGCGCATCAGAGACGGTTGGTTGCCAGGCAGAGAGAGAGGAAAACGAAGGACGAGGTACCTACATAAAGGTGGTAAGTAATTTTACTGCAAAGAAAGGAAGGTGGAACTTAATGTGAAAAATGAAATTGTCGGTTTAATTTGAGATTGGATATTTTCGGCAACATCTTCATTTGCAAATTTGTTCTTAATGTTGAACATCGGACTCACTAAGGTGGCACAGTGAGGTGGTATTTCGCTCATAGTTATAAACCTTCAAGGAATTGAATTCAAATCACCGATATGTTATCATTAACAGCATCATCCACAACACAATTGAACATCTTCGATTTTTAAAGGGGGAATATTTGTGTATGTGTGGTAACTTTAATCTTGCGAGAAACACCCCATGATAAACAATAGGTGGCTGATTTTACGAAATCAATGCGCGCCAAATAGCACGGTTAGCCCATTATCTACGCTTTGAATATTTTCGGTAGGTGTCTGAAAGGCAGCAAAAGTTCAGAAATGCTTTTCAATGTGAACTGTTTCTCTGTGAAAATCTTGCTATTCCTGGACAACGGCATCGCGCTATTGAAATGTATAGCAACGTTTTCAGTAACAGAGATATGAACCCAA